AAATGTCAATTTGGCACAAATAAACAAAAAAATTATCATAATATGTAATTTGTTGATTTCATTATGTTAATAGCCACGGAGGAATAATTAATTAATTTGTCAGATTTTTTTTTTTTTTTTGAGGAAGCCGAAAAATAATTATAGTAATGATGATGGTGATAAAAATTTATGCATGGTAAAATGATTTCGGAATAATTATGGCTTATTTGATAATCTCAGAGATTCTGGCATTTCTAAGACACCAGATGGTGTAATATTTGGATTATCATATATCTCATCATTTATATTTTCATAAGAAAGAATATTGAAAGAATATGGAAAAAATTGATTTGGCACAAATGTTACCATTTTATACTCTAGGGCACACATAAACGTTGGTAGTTAACTTATATTCCTTGAAACACGCCATTTGGTTTCATCGACGTGTCTAGAAACACGTTCCGAATTCACATCAGGCTTGACCGACAAGAAATGAGATTTTCGAAGATAGTGCACCATAAATATATCGAAAAAAATAATTTTTCGGAGGGGGTGGGCCACTAAGACCATGAGAGTTTCGGAGATAATGCACTATAAAAATATCGAAAAAAAATATTTTTTCGGAGGGGTGGGGCCCCCTAGACCACCCTCTGACTGCGTCGGTGGTTGATTTGTATATTTAAATATCACTAAAATTCAATCAAAATTGAGACCTTTGCAGATATTTGAACTCAGGGACAGAATTTGATCTTTTATGTTCTCAGGATAAACAAATTGGTCTATATTTTTCTGTATACATTTCAAATTTTTTGGTACGTATCAGTCATATATGAGAATAGAAAAAAATTGAAAAAATAGTTTTAATAAACCGTTTATGATTTTTGGAAAAGAAGTACTTAAAAAATTTCAGACTCACGATTTTTGTGAAGAAGTCCTCTAAAAATGCAATTTTGTCCAAAATGTAACACACATCATTTGAACCAGTAAAGAAAGCCTCAAAGTCGAGCGGGGCCGACTTTATGATACCCTACACCACTTTGCTAATTTATTAGAGCTCCGCATAACAATTAAAAATTTTTATGGGAGAATTCAATCATACACGCTATGATTATAATTCTAATTTAAAGTTCAAAGGGCTAAATATGCCGAAGCGGCTGTGGGTAACAAATATAACAAATCGGATGAACAATTTATATGGGAGCTATAGGTATATCCGAACCGATCTTCACCAAGTTTGACATACTAGCTTCTAGACACAATTCGGTCGTTAGTGCCAAATTTCATCCCATTTGGGGAAATATTAGATGTTTGGTGCACAATAAAGGGTAAATCGGAAGAAGTTATATATGGGAGCTATATCCAAATCGGAACCGATCTCGATGAAATTTGGCAAAAATATTTCTGAGCTGTATTTGATATATTTCCCCAAATATTGTTGTTACAGAGTGCATAATATAACAAATCGGATGAACAATATATATGGGAGCTATAGCTATATCTGAACCGATCTTCAACAAATTTGACATACTAGCTTTTAGACTCAATTCTATCGTAAGTGCCAAATGTCATCCCATTTGGGCAAATATTAAATGTTTGGTGCACAATAAAATATAAATCGGACGAAGTATGGGAGACGAATATATGGAAGATATATCCAAATCTGAACCGATCTCGATAAATTTTAGCAAAAGTATTTCTGAGCTATATTTGATATATTTCCCCAAATTTTGTTGTTATAGAGTACATATTATGGCTTCGGAGGACAAAAATAACAAATCGGATGAACAATATATATGGGAGCTATAGCTATATCTGAACCGATTTCGATCAAATTTGGCATACTTATTTTCAGGCCTAATTTGGTTGTATGTGCAAAATTCCATACTATTCGGGCTGATATTACACGTTTAGTGCACAATAAAAGGCAAATCGGACCGATATATTTCATCTCAACACCAGACATTGGGCTAATAAACATATTGTGATGTGTGAAAATGTAGGACAATCGGATTCTTACATCACATTTTATACAAGTTGTAATTATTCAAAATGTTGACCCTTTGTGGGAGAGGCACTTGATGGTGTGGACGAGTGTGGAGGATTTGCAAAGTTAGAGCAAAATTGGAGTATTATCTCCCTTTTTGTGCAGAAAATATTATTTTCTGAAAATTTCGACCATTTGTGGGGGAGGTACAATAAGGAATGGACCGATATATTCCATCTTAACACCAGACCGTGGGTTAGTATAAATATTGGGATGTGTGAAATTTGAAGGCATTAGGACTCTCTTATAACATTTTATAAATGTTGTACTTATGGAAAATTGTGACCTTTTGTTTGGGAGGTACTTCATAGAGTGGACCGATATTGTCCACTTTCACACCTGACTTAGAACTGACGTAAATATTAGGATTTGCCAAGTTGAGGCAAAATCTAATTATCCATTTTCTTCCTGTGCAGAAAAGATTTTTTTTTTTTTTTTTGAAAATTTCGATCTTTTGTGGGGAGGACCAAAAGGAGTATTCCACTTTTACACCAGACCTTGGGTTAATAAAAATATTGGGATATGTGAAATTTGAAGACAATGGGACTCTTACATCACATTTTATAAGAGTTGTAATTATTCAAAATTGTGACCCTTTGTGGAGGAGGTACTTAACGGAATGGACCGAAATGTTAGGATTTGCAAAGTTGAGGCAACATCGGATTATCGTTTCTCTTTCTGTGCAAAAAAAATTTTTTTTTTTTGAAAATTTTGACCTTTTGTGGGGGAGGTAGCAGAAGGAGTGGATCGATATTGCCCATTTCCGAACTCGATCTAAGTTTAATAATAATATTACGATGTACCAAGTTTGAACTAGATCGTACGCTCCCTTCGTAAAACCGTAATTTCGATGAGGCACGTTTTGGTCGTATCAAATGATGTATACCCTCTCTAGCCATATGGCTGAGGTTATAAAAAGTAAAAGAAAATTCTTATAATTTTTTCCTCGACCTTTTTCAAGCTGAGGTATGAAAGTAGCATAAAACTTGATTTAATGCCAAAAGTATCAATGGAAAAAATATTCTACACAGAATTTCACCATAAGTTTTAGAAGAGATCGTATATGTATATTGAGTAGTTCTTGAGAAAATTACATTCGAAATATGGTTATAAAAAATTGGAAATTATGTGTTAACGTTTTTACTGTCAATTTAACACGTTTCAATTTTAAGTCAAAATCTCCTTCAAGACTTCACTTTTTTGTGAATGTGTTAAAGGGTCAAATATTCCCTACTAAATTTCATTATGAGTCTCTGAACACCAGAAGTGTATAAATTTAATATATATTATTTAAAAAATGTCATTAATTTTGGTATTTAAAATTTTATTATTCTTTTTTGGAAATTTAGCACTTTTTTAATTTTGCTTTTTTATACCCTCCACCACACAGAGTATGGATGGTATATTAGATACGTCATCGAAATAATAATTTTAGACATAACAAATTATATATATTCATGATCAGCGTAAAATTCGAAGACGATTTAGCCCTGTCGGTCTGTCTGTCTGTTGTAGTCACGTTAGAATCAAAAAGAATTAAGGTAGGAAGGTAAAATTTTGCAAAGATCAGTTTTTTATTTGCAGGCAGGTCAAGTTTTGTAAACAAAATGCAGGTCGCATTTATTATTCGATTGAGATGAATTTTTTTAAATAACATTTGTTTGGCTCAAGGACGAACCCTATTGAAATTGGTGAAAATCGGTCCAAATTTAGATATAGCTCCCATGTATATCTTTATCCGATTTTAGGTTTTTTGTGCACCAAATGGCTAATATCAGTCCAAATGGTGTGAATTTTGCTACATCCGTCCGAATTCACGCTACAAGCATGTGCTTCAAATTTGGTGAAAATCGGTTCAGATATAGCTATAGCTCCCATATATATGTTTCATCCGATTTTAGGTTTCTTGTACACCAAATGGCTAATATCAGTCCAAATGGTGTGAATTTTGGCACTTCCGACCGAATTGTGTATATAAATAAGTACTTTAAATTTGGTGCAAATCGGCTAAGATACAGCAACAGCTACAGCGATTTGGTGCTTAAGTCCCTCAAATTCGGAAAATACGCGATACAAGAATAATATTTGGTATCAGATATCAGATGCAGCCAAGAAATAGCTGTTTTCAATTTTATGAAGATCGGCTCAGATTCGGATATAGCTATCATATATATCATTATTCGATTTCAGGTTTATTGTGCACCAAATAGCTAATATTAGCCCAAATGGAGTGAATTTCGCAATTCAACCGAGTTTAGCATAGAAGGAAGAATTTGCTCCCATATATATATTTCATCCGATGTGGTTTTTAAGTCTCCAAATTTCGGAATATGTACTCTACCATAATGATATCTTGTACCAGATATGTCGTAGAGCTCAGAAATTGCAATATAAACCTTTCTTTTACGAGAGTTCTACTGAATATGCGTAGTTGTGTAGGGTATCATATAGTCGGCTCCGACCGACTTTTGAGCTTTCCTTATTGTTTTTTTTTATGAAATTTCCTAATTCGTTCCAATTCAAAATTCAAAGTTCGGCCCAGCCAAACTTACCTTTTTTTTACTTATTTTTTATTTTATTTAATTATTATTATTATTATTATTATTATTATTATTATTATTATTATTATTATTATTATTATTATTATTATTATAATTATAATTATTATTATTATTATTATTATTATTATTATTATTATTATTATTATTATTATTATTATTATTATTATTATTATTATTATTGTTATTATTATTATTTTATTTTTTATTTATTTATTTATTTATTTATTTTTTTTTTTTTTTTGGCAAATATATCACTTTTTCGAATTGTCTTAAAAAAGTCTTAAAATTTTATTGTGCTCTAGCCTATCAACAGTGTAGAATTTTTTTTATTTGATTTTAATAGTATTCGGTTAGAAATCAAAATATTGCACATGATTTTTGAAAAAAGAAAATTTGAAATATATATTTGTATTTACCTTTGTAATTTTCCATAAAATAATCCACCTTTGATATTTCGTTTTTAATTAAATTGAAAAGTTTAGGGTTATTTTATTTTTTTTTTCTTTGTCGATTTTTGATGTTTATTTTAAGCACTTATAGCTTCAAAATATGTATCATAATATATATTTATTTGATATTTTTTTTAAATTTATTTCACAACAAAATTTAGAGGATAAATAATAAATATTCGTTTTAATTATTTATATTTTTTTGGCAAATATTTTTGTATTTTTCAAATATTTTTTATTATTTTTGTTTTAAATATTTTTATTTGATAATTTATTATTTTTTTGCTTTTCTTATTTTTAGCTTTTAATTTTAAATTTTTTCGACTTAATTTTTATTTCACACAAATTTTTAAAGATTTTTCTTCATTGTATTTTGATGTTTTTTTTATTTACTTAGTTTGAACAATATTTTTTATAGTCCCCTTACGATTTCAACACATTAAATTTATTTCAAATATGAATCATAATTCTAACTAATTTTTTTTTTGATAATTTATGTAGGTTTGCTATTGCATCTCACATAAGCGCGAAGAATAAATTCAGAAATATCCGGTAATAATTTTCAAAAAATTTTTTTATTTAATTTTTCTTCTCACATATCTTCCACAACTGCTGATATTTCCTTTAGACAAGTAATTTTGTATAAACAATTTTTTTTGTTTATTTATTTATTTTTTGTGTTCGATGCACTCCCGCCACTAGTTTATTTATATTATACACGAACTAGGCGAAAAACCACAAGACATTTTATAAACAAATATTTCGAATTACAACAAATAGCTAGGTATAGTCCAATTCAAAACACTTAGTAAACACATGGAAATCATTTTATTTTATTTTTTTATTATTTATTTATTTATTTATTTATTTATTTTTTTTTTTTTGGTTTAGATGCAATTTCAAATTTTCGCTGTTTACATTTTTTTTATTTAATTATTTTTTCTCTTTGAGTGCCATAATTCATATATGCTTGCATATAATATTGAAAATTCCAATTTTATTTTCTCGAGTGTATGGTTGGCAACCGTGGCAAGCGTCCGTTTTCATTGAAACGTAAAAACAATCTGATTTTTGTGCCGCCAACACGAAATGTTTGCCAAATGGCCAAGCGACATCATCATCGTCGTTTACCAAAATCTTTAACAGAGTGGTGAGTATGTAAAGCTGGTAATGTTAACAATGTAATGTTAATTAACATTACATTGCCATTAACATAGCAAAAGGATATTCGTTACAGTTAAACTTACCCACTGACCGACTCCTGTATGTAATAGTCGTTATTGGGGTAGGTTATACATTTTTGCAACAATTTCAAAATGTTATGCTTTTTTCTCTCTTTTTCACACTTACACGCACACCCACCCCCCAATCAGACACCCACACACACAGTCTATAGGATATGGCTGACTCTTCTTAACATTGAACTTGAACTAGAAACGCAACAACGCACACACACAACTTTTCTTTCATAAATAAATTTATTGGTGTGTGTCTTTTTGTGGGGCCAACATTGTTTGCATTTTATGTGAGCGAAAAAACTTCAAGAGAGCCATAAACAAAATATTAAGAGCAACATTTATTTTGTTCATTTCTTACGAGAGACAACACACAATAAAAATGATATCGTAGATGTGTTGAAATATTTATTACCAATTTTAAATTTAGATTTTATTTAGGGGTTCCAAAGAAAAGTAATTCTAATATTTTGCAAAAATGTGTAAACATTAACAGAACCAAAATTGTGGAATATTAAATTTTTTTTAAGCACTAGAAGAACACCAAAGTGGATTTTTTAAATAATTTTTCTCAAGGACCATCCCAACAATTAATGTGGATCTTTTTAAATAATTTTTCTCAAGCATCATCCCAACAATCAACACGGATTTTTAAAATAATTTTTCTTAAGGGCCATCCGAACAATAAACGTGGATTTTTTAAATAATTTTTACCAACTAACATCCCAAAAATGAACATGGATTTTTTAAATAATTTTTCTCAAGGACCAACAGTCGAATAAACGTGGATTTCTTAAATAATTTTTCTCTAGGACCATCCCACAATAAACGTAGATTTTTTAAATAATTTTTATCAAGGACCATCCCAACAATAAACGTGGATATTTTAAAAAAATTTTCTCAAGGACCAATAAATGTGGATTTTTTAAATAATTTTTCTCAAGGACCAATAAATGTGGATTTTTTAAATAATTTTTCTCAACGACCAATAAATGTGGATTTTTTTAAATAATTTTTCTCAAGGACCAATAAACGTGGATTTTTTAAATAATTTTTCTCAAGGACCAACAATAAACGTGGATTTTTTAAATAATTTTTCTCAAGGACCAATAAACGTGGATTTTTTAAATAATTTTTCTCAAGGACCAATAAACGTGGATTTTTTAAATAATTTTTCTCAAGGACCAATAAACGTGGATTTTTTAAATAATTTTTCCCAAGGACCAATAAACGTGGATTTTTTAAATAATTTTTCCCAAGGACCAATAAACGTGGATTTTTTAAATAATTTTTCTCAAGGACCAATAAACGGGGATTTTTTAAATAATTTTTCTCAAGGACCAATAAACGTGGATTTTTTAAATAATTTTTCTCAAGGACCAATAAACGTGGATTTTTTAAATAATTTTTCTCAAGGACCAATAAACGTGGATTTTTTAAATAATTTTTCTCAAGGACCAATAAACGTGGATTTTTTAAATAATTTTTCTCAAGGACCAATAAACGTGGATTTTTTAAATAATTTTTCTCAAGGACCAATAAACGTGGATTTTTTAAATAATTTTTCTCAAGGACCAATAAACGTGGATTTTTTAAATAATTTTTCTCAAGGACCAATAAACGTGGATTTTTTAAATAATTTTTCTCAAGGACCAATAAACGTGGATTTTTAAATAATTTTTCTCAAGGACCAATAAACGTGGATTTTTTAAATAATTTTTCTCAAGGACCAATGAACGTGGATTTTTTAAATAATTTTTCTCAAGGACCAATAAACGTGGATTTTTTAAATAATTTTTCTCAAGGACCAATAAACGTGGATTTTTTAAATAATTTTTCTCAAGGACCAATAAACGTGGATTTTTTAAATAATTTTTCTCAAGGACCAATAACGTGGATTTTTTAAATAATTTTTCTCAAGGACCAATGAACGTGGATTTTTTAAATAATTTTTCTCAAGGACCAATAAACGTGGATTTTTTAAATAATTTTTCTCAAGGACCAATAAACGTGGATTTTTTAAATAATTTTTCTCAAGGACCAATAAACGTGGATTTTTTAAATAATTTTTCTCAAGGACCAATAAACGTGGATTTTTTAAATAATTTTTCTCAAGGACCAATAAACGTGGATTTTTTAAATAATTTTTCTCAAGGACCAATAAACGTGGATTTTTTAAATAATTTTTTCTCAAGGACCAATGAACGTGGATTTTTTAAATAATTTTTCTCAAGGACCAATAAACGTGGATTTTTTAAATAATTTTTCTCAAGGACCAATAAACGTGGATTTTTTAAATAATTTTTCTCAAGGACCAATAAACGTGGATTTTTTAAATAATTTTTCTCAAGGACCAATAAACGTGGATTTTTTAAATAATTTTTCTCAAGGACCAATGAACGTGGATTTTTTAAATAATTTTTCTCAAGGACCAATAAACGTGGATTTTTTAAATAATTTTTCTCAAGGACCAATAAACGTGGATTTTTTAAATAATTTTTCTCAAGGACCAATAAACGTGGATTTTTTTAAATAATTTTTCTCAAGGACCAATAAACGTGGATTTTTTAAATAATTTTTCTCAAGGACCAATAAACGTGGATTTTTTAAATAATTTTTCTCAAGGACCAATAAACGTGGATTTTTTAAATAATTTTTCTCAAGGACCAATAAACGTGGATTTTTTAAATAATTTTTCTCAAGGACCAATAAACGTGGATTTTTTAAATAATTTTTCTCAAGGACCAATAAACGTGGATTTTTTAAATAATTTTCTCAAGGACCAATAACGTGGATTTTTTAAATAATTTTTCTCAAGGACCAATAAACGTGGATTTTTTAAATAATTTTTCTCAAGGACAATAAACGTGGATTTTTTAAATAATTTTTCTCAAGGACCAATAAACGTGGATTTTTTAAATAATTTTTCTCAAGGACCAATAACGTGGATTTTTTAAATAATTTTTCTCAAGGACCAATAAACGTGGATTTTTTAAATAATTTTTCTCAAGGACCAATAAACGTGGATTTTTTAAATAATTTTTCTCAAGGACCAATAAACGTGGATTTTTTAAATAATTTTCTCAAGGACCAATAAACGTGGATTTTTTAAATAATTTTTCTCAAGGACCAATAACGTGGATTTTTTAAATAATTTTTCTCAAGGACCAATAAACGTGGATTTTTTAAATAATTTTTCTCAAGGACCAATAAACGTGGATTTTTTAAATAATTTTTCTCAAGGACCAATAAACGTGGATTTTTTAAATAATTTTTCTCAAGGACCAATAAACGTGGATTTTTTAAATAATTTTCTCAAGGACCAATAAACGTGGATTTTTTAATAATTTTTCTCAAGGACCAATAAACGTGGATTTTTAAATAATTTTTCTCAAGGACCAATAAACGTGGATTTTTTAAATAATTTTTCTCAAGGACCAATAAACGTGGATTTTTTAAATAATTTTTCTCAAGGACCAATAAACGTGGATTTTTTAAATAATTTTTCTCAAGGACCAATAAACGTGGATTTTTTAAATAATTTTTCTCAAGGACCAATAAACGTGGATTTTTTAAATAATTTTTCTCAAGGACCAATGAACGTGGATTTTTTAAATAATTTTTCTCAAGGACCAATGAACGTGGATTTTTTAAATAATTTTTCTCAAGGACCAATAAACGTGGATTTTTTAAATAATTTTTCTCAAGGACCAATAAACGTGGATTTTTTAAATAATTTTTCTCAAGGACCAATAAACGTGGATTTTTTAAATAATTTTTCTCAAGGACCAATAAACGTGGATTTTTTAAATAA